GATTTAAAAGGAATTGGCAGTAAATGAAAGTGACCAATGTATTGACAATAGATAAACCTCATTTATCATTTTTATCAAAAAATTATTTTATTTATTACATATTTGTGTACTTTTAGTGAATTCTATCATTTAATAACAATCATTTAATAACAACAATATTTGTTGTTAAAAATGCATATAACATTCAAATTTGAAGCAATAAAATAATAATCTTTGCAACCGTACATTTATCAACGAAATAAAATTGGGCGGTGATACCTGACATTCATGTGAGCAGGGCTACCCGAAATTCAATTTTTTTGTAAATTTGTAATTACTCGAACAATTTTTTAAAAATAAACTTCTTTCTTCGTGCAAATTAAACCTAAGACTACATACTTTAATGCTGTATGTATAGAAAAAATTATTTTATAAGTATTAAAATGAAGTTTGAACGAAACATTCAACCAATTTTTCTTAACTTCATGAATACTGTATTCAACAAATTTTCAAAACTATTGTTTACCATGTTAACAGCTGCATAAATACTTGAAACTTGGGAAATAATCTCTTTTTAATATAACAATTAATGTCCGATGGCACATTGACTTGAGAAAATATTCTATACATATGAAATTGACGTTGGACGGGGGTACCCGCTGGGCGGAGCTACCCGACTCTCCCCTAAATGATTAATGTAACGTCAAATAAAGAAGTAACGTTGAAAATATATCATTGTTCTCTGTAGCATTGATGATTTTATATTGATTCTTAAAATGATTTATGATTACTAATTTTATTTTTCTTAACAGGCTCCGGTTCTAAAATGATTCTAATAAACTTTAGTAAATTAACTTTTAAGAGATAATTAATTGCATAATAATTTAATTTAGCAAAAATGTATTTTTCTCGAGCTTAAAATAAAATTTATTTTTGCACAACGCAATTTAAATAAGATACAATAATTAACAAAATATTTAAGATTTAATTATGTTTTTTAATGATAATGTTAGATTTAATAATGTTGAACAGCCGACTCAATTTTGGGTTTACGACTACTAATGTTCAACTCCGTAGCCTTTGTAATTTTGAACCAATTCAGAAGAAACTCTTGGATCAGTACCCCCAGAGGTATAATTTGTTTTGGGAACATGGAGGACTTTGTGACTTGACATATTTAACGTACATCAGTCACCATTTACTACACGGGGAGTCTTCGGCCGGCAGGGTTCAAACCCACGAACTCTTAGACATAGGTCCAGTGCCCTACAAACCAGACTAACCCTGCCTTTCTACACTTTTATTAAGACAATACTCTTGATTAATTGGAACAGATAAAAAATACTTTGTCTAAAATGCATTTAAAGATTATTAGTTAAATTGCTTCTGCGCCAATTTGTCATAATGTAATTCAAGGTAGGCGTAAATCGTAGTTGCCGCAATTTTACTTATTAAAAACTTTATTTGAGATCATTCGGGATAATCTGGCTCATTGAGAGTTTACTGTAGAAATTAATAAGGTCTCGTAATTTCTACATAGTGTCTGCTTACTAATAAATCTTTTTTCTATTTAGAAAACTAGTGTATACTTGGTTTAGTGAAAAAGTTGTGTGGAAAATTTATCTGAAATTATATACGATGTATCGTCAGACCATTCTGCAAATTCTCCCGCTTTTTCGGAATAACAGAGTAAGTAGATTTCTAATGTTAAGTAATTTAGGATCGTTGTACTAGTAGACCTAGTAACGATAATGATTCTGCTCAAGATGGACCTTACTTAAAGCATATAAAAGAGAGGGGAAAAAATTCCCGGCACATCTCGATATATGAAAAAAAATGCAATTCAACATAAAAGTGCTCTATCAACGCCTCCTGTAACTGAAAGCCTCCACACGGTTTTTTGTAGGTAGTCTGATCAAACCACTATGAAGGTAAACCAAGTAGAGAAATAACCATTTAATATGAAATTTATTAAAAATTAGAAAGTGGTAGCAAATATATGTCTAAAAATTTGTTTAATTTATGAATATAATTGGTTTGTTTTATTTACTTGTCAACCACTATAGATTCAATTCTCAAATTTATATGATAATATTCTCTCAAGTATTTTTAAAATAGAATTTGGGTTCCTGCGCACAAGTGGTTCGCTTTTTAAGTACTCTTCGCAGACTACTTATAAGAAACCGTGTGGAGGCTTTCTGAGGTAGGAGGTGAGGGCTCTATTTAGTGTTTTCTTCAATGTAAAGGCGCTTTCTACATTGTAATGGCGTTTTGTAAATGGAGTTAATATAATTGCACTGTCAAATATAATGGCGCATAAAGCAAGAATTCATGCTCGTAATTCATAATTTAATTACTATAGTAACGAAATATAAACATTTATAAACTTAAAATAACGTTACACAAATCTCAACTTTTTCTGAAGGTGTAACTTTGATTTATATTTTACAGCCATTTTAATGCAATAACCTCGGATAATTCAGGGCAAAAAATATCATTTTCATTGACAAGTATTACCAGGTCTTAATTATAATTTTATTCTATACAGGCATGTTTTTCTCATGTGCAACTTAAGGAGACCTTTCAGAAGACCTTAGAAGCTATCAAGAAAGGCAACAGAGCCCATAAATTCTGTGGTATTCTCATAAAAGCTAAAGAAGTCACTCAAGAAACTGATTGTTTTCACCCTCCTTCCGTAGAAGTTACCCTGAATAAAGATGAGTTAGAAGCTCATTTAATTATCTGTGAGCTAAAAGAAATCATTCATGAAGATAAGCCTGAATATATTCTAATTGATACGATTTTGGAAGCACTTAAAAATAGCTCTAATGAAGCACGTCGGCAGCTTATTTCACTTCTTTTTAGTATCGATACGGTTAACTTCTTGAATCCCAAGAGCCAGAGTTCAAAAGAATACTTAAAATATTTTATAAGTGAGGTTGGATGCTTTTTCAGAAATGCAAATACGATAAATCCTGATAGGATTTTAGATACCCAAGGAGTTTTAAGAATGGTTGAAACTAGATTACTAAATTATTCAGAGTACGATAGGAATTATAACTATCTGCTTTCAATAGTGAACTATGTAATTATTGACGAACATCATCACTCCGACGATCATAATAGAGAAATCGAAGCTTTAATGTCTGATGCTGTTTCACTAATTTCAACTAGGTTGTCACTACTGAACAGTGCCTCAAAATCTATTTTAGAGAAATGTTTATTGGCACGAAGATCTTCACTTGCTATTGACAGAGCTGATTCTGATTTGGAACAGTTTTATTTGGATAAGATTAGTTATTGCTACAGTATTTTGGACGAGGTAAATATGAACTTTTTTGTAATATTTCTTTAAAAATGTTCTTGAACACTGATATTTCGTGTACCGTTTACAGGGGTTAGTCAAGCTTTACCTTCTGTGAAGCCCCTCGGTACTTCTTTCGCCTCTCTCTATACGGCATTTTTGTCTTGATAGTTCGTTCACCAGGAGTTGGAACTCTATGGTTGGCACCCGCCTTCATCTCGTGGTTCGCGACGATACTATTTCGCTATTTTTGAGAGAAGGATGTGAACAATCCTGAAAAAAGTTGTTATTTTGGCGATCGTATGACAAAAATATTTATTCCGCAATCTTTATGTACATTTTTTTAACATTAAATGTTTCATAAATCTGATGATATTTCTCTCTTTTGAGGGAATAATTTGTCCTTTTTAAACATTTTGCTGGGAAAACAGCCGCTTTTAAATTTAAAATATATTTAATTAGATAGAGTAACAAAAGGTGTATAATAGCAAATGATAAAACGAAACAAGTGACTTAAAAAGAATTCACTGTTAGTGTTTGGCATGCATTAACGGTTGTCTCAATTTTAAGCGAGGAGATGTTTTTCCCTCTTACTCCCGCTCTGAAATGAACTCTTCGTCAAAGGATATGATGGAGCAAGTGGTAACTCTTGGTGAACGAACTACACTTTATCTAACAAAACTAATACTAATATAAAATTAATAATCGGTTTTTTTCCCCCTAGACAAATCTTAAAACATTTGATTTGCGGGCTTAAAAGTAAACCAAATAATTCACACAGAGGCCCTTAAGCATGCCAGCGAAAACATATGGCCACGTAGTTATAATCAGTTTTGCAACAGATTGTAAAATAATTATTACAACAATTAAGCTAACCATTAGTTGTCAATAAATAAAAGGTTTGGTTGATAAACAATTATCGAAAAAGTACTATTAAATTAATCATTTATCTTGGGGATAGTTTACAATTTAATTGAGTTTTAATCAATGAAAATTATATTTTTAGACATTATTTTATCAAAAGTAAAATATTGAATTTATAAGCCGAGATGAAACAATAACCTTTTATTATGGAAAGTACAATTACTATTGCATTACCCTTTTTTTTTCCATTCACAAAATTAACTCTATTGATATACAGTTATTTTAGAGATGGCAACGACTTCTTTGACAGTTTCGGTTCTTCCTTTTAAATAAAAAGAAATTAAAGCTGTAAAGCACAGGTATTACTTTTTAGTATTAAGGAGCGTATTTTTCTCCACTAGAATCTGTTATCAATTTTGAAACTTCTGTTAAACTAAAGCAAAGCGGAGTTCCATGTGATCGTTTATTCAAAACCAAGAAGCGAAAGCTACAGAAAATGAAATTGTTGCGCTGATTGGATAATAAATTTAAATATGAATGCGAACCTCTGATTGGATGAAAACTAACTGAAATAAGGGGAAAAAAAGTTGAGAATCGAATTAATGATTCAATGAACTGTTTGCTTCTCTTAGCATTAAATGAATCATTAAGCCAAATGAATCGATTCTTCCGAACCTATCTCTTAACATTAATATCGGCTCAAAGAGTTGATTTTTATGTCATTTTTTTATACTTTAGCATTACAGTATTTGAATGGTTCTTTGCGCTGGTTGTTCGACTCATTTGAGCGATTTTATATCTTTTAACATTAAAAGAACTGTTTTGTGACACGATTCTTTTCAGTATTACCTTATCCTCTAACATAAATGGGTACTTACAGAATGATGGGGGTTAAGAAGAGAGTAACCTACCTAAGTCATTTTTAGAAAAGAGGACATTTAAGAGGAAAAAAAATTATTGAATATTCAATTCACATCTTAATGTTTTCAATTATAAATATAAGTGTATAACCAGTAATTATGTTACACAGAAAATATATTTTTCTTTAAACTTTTTTAAGGGGTGGGATGAGGCAATTTTTAAAATCTCTTTATGGAGGAGATAAGTTATATGTCACACCACTCCATATAATTGTTTTTCCGTACTGTAGTTTGTTATTTGAAAATAATGTTCAAATTGACAAACGATGAAATACTAAATTTTCATAGCTTCGTAAATTAGTGAAAAAAATTTTTATTTTAATAAAAAGAAATGTGTCGGTATATGTTTTTATCAATGCATTTTTGTTGTCTTCTTAAAGCAAAAATTTAATTGTGTCGTGGAGGTACGGAATTTTCCCACCAGCCTTGGAGAAATGGGTTTCCGGGTTAATATGGATCGATTTAAAAGAATTGGTTGATCGGATTTTGTGAATCTATTATTTTTAATTAAGCTTATTTTGATTATTGAAAAGATTTTTTTTCTAAAATTAAAAAAGTAATTTAAATTATTTATTAATTTATTTCGCGTCATGCATTTTGAATTTTTTACGTTATTATTTGTGAATTTACCGTTTAAGTTTTTACTAATATCCTTATTATTAATTATTGATATTTATATTTTTAATATGAAGATCAATTTTATAACAAAAAAATATATTTTTAATAAAACTGTATTTTTATACAAATATAATAAAAATAAAAATGCATTAAAACTAACAAAAATTATTAGTATTACCTAGGACAGCAGTTCCCAACGGTGTTCTACGGAACCCTAGGGTTCCGTAAAGAATTGCCGGAATTCCGCTAGTGAGTACTTCTTACAGCCACAGACGACCTAACTGTAACACTCAGCTTCAGCACCCTAGTACAAGGTCTAAGACAGAGGTTCTCTAATAGTGTTCCACGGAAGCCTAATCTTCCGTAAAGATTTACAGGAGTTCTGATAGTGAGTACTTTTTGCAGCCGCAGACAGCTGACCACCCAACTGTAACAATAAGCTTCTGCACCCTAGAGTCCAATGTCTAAGACAGAGGTTCCCAAATGGTGTTCCACGGAACCTTATGGTACCTCGGAAAAGCTACAGGGGTTCCGCGAGTTAGTACTTTTTTTATAGTTAATGATGAGTATTGAAACCTCAGATTAGATATTTAGATACAATCTATAATTTATTTAATCTTTCGGTTACTTTAAAAAATTATTTCTAATAAAATGCCATTAAAAATAAATGGCATTTTTTAAGATAAAATATAATATTTCTAACAACAATATAATGAGTAAATTATGAAAAGGACAAGCATTAGTAATTCTCATCACGATCAAAATAATTATATTCTTTAATAAAGAAATATGCTTCCTTAATGACCAACGTTTATTGAGGCCAGTGTAGGTATCAGAAAGGTTCTGGGTTCGAATCCCGGGCAAGGCATGGATGTTTCTTTCTTTCTCTGTGTTCTATGTCCTTTCTTCTTCGTGTAATTACGTGAATATGGCCACTTATTTATATTATTTATTTCAATTTTTTTATTTTTAACTTTTGTACATACACTTAAAACGAATCCTTAATTAGACTGCATAAGAACTGCCTTCCAGACCAGATTTTGCTCTTGTCATGCTCAACAACACTAACTCAAATTTTAAAAAAAAATGCATTCTTCCATCAGATAAGTTATAATCATCAGGACTATGAAAATAAATTAAAAGTGCCAATTTATCACCCATCTTATTATATAAAAAACAAAATCTCTTTAACTGAGCAAGGTAACTACGACTTTAGAAAAGATACCAACTTCTTCACAGACGGTTCCAAAACTGAAACAGGCACTGCATTCGCATTTCTTAACAATGCTCATTCACAAACCTTCACATTGGATATTAACACCTCTATTTTTCAGGCCGAACAATTGGCAATATTAGAATGTGTAAAACACATCAAAAATAACTCAAACTTCAACAGACAAATAAATTACATAATCTGTTCAGACTCTAAAGCCCTAATTAAAGACGCAGGATCAGCTAACCTCATAACCAAAGACATTCAACATGCACTAATGAACACCGCGATTCAAATCTCTTGGATTAAAGCGCATAACAATAAAGAAGGTAATGAGAGAGCGGACGAATTGGCCAAAAAAGCAACACAAAGCATTAAAAATTATTCCTTTCCTCTCCCTGACACCTAAAACAATCTCTTAAATCTTTATCTAGTAATTGGCAAAACCAATGGAATAATTCCGATAGAGGAAGACGTCTGTTTAACATCATCAATAATGTCAACTACTTTAATTCAATTCCAATTAAACAAGTCATCTGGTTCCTAACAGGTCACGGCCCTTTTCCTTCTTTCTTTCATTACCTTCATATCTCGGATACAGACCTTTGTACCTGTGGTCAACCAGGTACACCAGAGCATTACTTATCCAGGGTGCGTAGCGTTTGTAAAAAGTACTTAAAGGTGCTTTTTGGGATATTTCGTTTTTAAAAGCTTTTAAAGGTGCTTTTTTCAGCTGGCGTTTTTAAAAAGTGCTTTTTTTCACGAATAATTTTTTTTTCTTCCTTCAATGATATTTGGCGGATCCCCTGCATTTCACGAAAAATGGGGTGTTTGCTACGTAATCATTCACATGGACTTCATGTAGTACCCACGTTATGACTTGCGCATGCGAGCACATTCGAAACTGAAACCCGAGTGCTCCAATTCGGATAGAGTCAGATCCTTATTAAATGTTTTTCTTTTTAATTTATTTCAATTTTATTCTTGTTTATTTTATTTTACTTCTAACACTTTTTTGATGTAGGGGGGTAAGGGTACCTTTGTTCTAAGTTCAGAGTCAAGTTGAATTCACTCGGTGATGTGGGAAAGTACTGATTGTTTCGATTTACGTCCGTTTCTTTTTGAGTTTTTTTTAATGCTAAAACTGTTCATTAAAAAGTTTTTGTTTTTCAATAATATCATTGATTCAATATGAATTTTTGAGTGCTTGAAAATTTTTGTAAAGTGCTTGAAAAGTTTTTAAAAAGTGCTTATTTTTGATTCAAAGATTTGGCTACGCACCCTGTTATCAACTTGTCTTTACACAATATCATGGCATACACGACTTTCAAACATTAATGATTTACATATTTGGCAAAAAAAACTTTCTTACAAATAAAACATTAAACTCTAAATTAATTAAC